TCATATTCGAGTTTAGTTTACATTGGTATTAACGAAATAATTTGTAAGTATGTATATGAATACAAAATAATATTTCTTTGAAAGTAGTGCAAATTACCAGATCATGAAATTTTGATAAAATTGTATAGTTGAAGCATTTGAGAACAAAGGATTAATTTTAGAGCTTAGCGAGGATTATATTTTGATTTATTAATCAAGTGTAAAAGTGAATGCAATTTACTTATTCAGCTATTTTGATTGAGAACGACTTGTGATAAGTCAACCGTATTTACTTAAAGTATGTTTTCTATCTTAAGCATGGATTTTTATTTTCATAAAGTTTATATATGTCTTATGAATGTTCACGGTACGAATTACCCAAATTATGATTTTTATGAGATTGATTGGAAAATGATTCTGAATTGAAATATTGATTATGAAACGAACAAGATATAATCAAACAGCCTATTGTATGTTGCACTGAGAGCGTAAGTACAATTGGTATGCCATTAAGTGAGTACTTATCAATTATCATTTATCATTTTCCAGTTATTTGAACCATTGGTTCTCATGTGATGATTGCACTGAAGTACATTATATGTTTCTGTTTTAGTTATGATTGGCACTGAAGTGCCTAGTTCGTGCCTTTCAGTTCTACTCGAGTACCTTATATTCTCATAAATATGCATTGGACTATGAAAATAAACATGAAAGTTATGAATGACATTTCAATTAACAGAAATCATGACATGATTATTTGTTTCAGACATAATATGAAAATGAAATGAAAAATTATGAAATATGTACGAATGACTAGGATATGATTTTTTTATGTTATTTGATATTGATTTACATGATTTTTGATGAAATCATGAGATGATGATTTTCAGGTTTCAAGGGAAAATAAACTTGACCAGCTCGGTTCAAAAGTTTTAATGTTTTTATTTAAATTACAGTTTTATGTTATAATACTTTACAAAATTTATATTTTATATCATTTTAGTTATGTAGTTGCTTCACTAAGTTTTACGTAGCGTATGATGGATTTCATGCGTAGGTTCGAATACAGTAAAGGGCGTGAAGTGAGTAGCTTGCCAACATTTTATGAGAATCAAACCTACCGACAATATTAGTAAGACATCTTAACTTTGACTTATTAGTGGCATGCACATTATAACTATTGGGTTGCTTTATCAGATTTATTTTATAAAAGGCTGTAGTAATAATTTAGGGTTGTTTTAATTTTGGATAATTTTAGCTATAATCATATTATGAATGAATATTATAAATGGTTTAAAAAAGTTTTAAATCAAGCAATATTAGACAGATGTATATAGATATGAAACAACATGGAACTGCCTAATTGTTGCATAAAAATTAGCCTTGTTTGGGACAATAAATTATTATGTTATGACTATGCATACTAAAGAAAATACAATTTTTAAATTATAAGAAAATGGTATCTTAAAACACAACAAAATTTTAAGCATTTATTTTCAGTAAATGTCTGTTAAGTTGATGTAACATCTTTAGTTTGTATTATGAGACGTATATGGGCTATGTGTGTTACATAAACATTGTTACCGTATTTACAATTATTAAAGTTTGAAAGTATTATAACATTATATATTTGAAATATATCTTGAATGTACTATCGAATACACTATATAAGGTGTATATTATCCAAAAGATGGATAAAAGAATTATGGATAACATTGTACCATAGATACGAGAAGGAAGATTTTATTACCTCCATTGGTGATAACAAAAATATTCCTATGCGTATTTGCTAAAGGAGAAAAGCAAAGTTATAGAGAAATTTATTCTCTATAAACAAGAAGTTGAAAACCAATTTAAAAGATTAAGATGATAAGAATTAATAGTGGTTGATGAATATTATTCACAAAATGGTATTATTCACAGAGTAACACTATCGTGCTCTCCTCAATCAAATAGAGTAGACGAAAGGAAAATCAGATTCTAAAATGAATGATGAACGTAACACTATGAAATTCTGAGTTGTGACAAAACATGTAGGGGAGAAGAGAAATTGTTCTTTCAACTAATTACCTTTTAAATAAAGTCTCCAAGAAAGAAAAAAAAAAGTCAAGACACCATATGAGTTATGAAAAGGTAAAAAAACATGCGTCATACAAACACTTAAAAATGTGGGGTGTCTTGAAAAGGTAATGGTCATATTACCATAACAAATGAAAATTGATCCTAAATAATGGATTGTATTTTCTTTGACTATCCTAATATTTTAGAAGGATAGACCGATGCTAGTTATAATTAGATATTCAAGATATCAACGATACAAGTGAATATGTTTCACATTGGGAGGAGAAGTCGTGTCATGGGAATCCTTAAGAAAACTGTTATAACCAGACTCGTAATGGAATCTAAGTTTGTAGCTCTAGATAAGTCTGGAGTATAAGCTGAATGACTTTGGAATTTATTGGAGGATATTCTTGAATGGCTGAAACATGTGCCCACGGTATGCATATATTGTGACTAGCATAGAATTCCAAGTATAACGGTAAGTCGAGACATACATGTCATCAATATAATACTATAGGCAATTAATCTCAAAAGGAGTTATCTCTGTTGATTTTGTAAGATCAAAGGATAACATTGTAGATCCTTTAATCAAAGGGTTAAATTGAGTTCAAATTGAGAAAAAATATCTTAAGGAATGAGACTAAAGCCTATAGATTTGAAGGCGTCATGTGAAGAAAAATCCTACCTAGTTGACTGGAGATCCTAAGATCTAGGTTCAAAGGGACACCCTAATTGCATAAATCGTGTACGATCACTATGGGGGTCTCTCATCCAAAGTTTGTTCCTAAGATGTAAATATTGATCAAAGTGGTACATGCTAAGCAACACTTTTAATGACCATTGTGTGCTTCAGTGAGCTGAGCAATATAAGTCACCTATGTGAGAGTGAAGTGGTGTCGCTTCAAGGAGATTATTGGGCATAATTGTTTCAATCTCTTGCAGAACTAGACGATGCCCATGGTTTTATGGACATACCTATGATAACTAAATTTTTTTGTCAAAGAGGTAGTTGTGTGAAGTATGTCACCGTTTACACAAACAACAGAACAATTCAAAGACATCACATCTACTGTTAAGTCAGTAAAGTAAATATAATGTCACAAGGGAATGTTCAAATAAGGACACCTATCCATCCTATGCAACTATCGATCATAGAGTCTATCACCACATTGTGTTAAAATGTTTTTGATAAAATCGTCAATTTCATTCATGTGGGGGATTGTTGGAAAAAGAGTGAATTTCATTGATTGATTTAATATTTAAATTAAATTCATATTTTTTTACTATTACAAATTAAAAGATATTGTTAATTTGAATATTAGTAGGATAATTATTCTTTGAATATATCAAATTAAAATGTATTTATTATTTATTTAACTTTGAATATTAAAGATAATTACATACTTTTAATATTTCAAATTAAAATAATATCTATTTAAGTTTGAATAGTAAAAAGTGTGTATCTTTTGAATATTTCAAATTAAAAGATATTATTATTTGTTTAAATTTGAATGTTAAAAGATATTTGATTTGTGTAAATCTCTCTTAGAAATCCCCTAGAAATACTGTGCTAACCTGCTAGGTTAAACACATGTTTATAATTTAGAACAAGTTTTGTTATCTCAGAATTCAAGAACTTGAAATAAAATCTTTTTTCTCCCACTAGTTTTCTGGTGATAGATGAAGGCAATAATAGTTCATGATCTCTGTAGCCGTAATACTATAGTTGATCATCTAGTTAGTATATACTGAGAGACAAACGACTAACGATCTCAAGCATCAAAAGAGTTACCGAAAATATGTTTTAAGAAAACTGTGTAGCGGTAGGCCTCAATTGTTTTCGATTGAGAGATCAACAAGAAAGAGTATTTTTATTTCTATATATTTTTATATTGTCTTTAAGAAGTTTAAATTATTTTATTTTCTCAGATCCGATTTCGTTTCATATTGTTATTTTGCGTAAAAAACTTGAGACATAATAAATTCGTTCTATATCTATTCAATTCAAGTATTGATAAGTCAAATATATGTAACTCACGATCTGTCTCGTTTCATTTAAAGCTCTAGTAACCACATTTCATAGCTAGGATAATAGCAGTGAGAGAGCATTATTAGTATGTTTGGCTGCCGCACAGTTAGCAATGGCGGCTGATCACAGAGTTGGAGTTCCCAACGGAAGCCGGGATTCAAGCACCGACCTCGAAACTCAGGCTCAACCCCAAATTTTTTCAGTAGGCGACAATCTGAATAAGTCACATTACTATGCTTCTTCCTTTCATTATGCATCAATAATGCTTTTTAATTGAACATGCTTGTTGTATAACCTGCAGTTTTCTGGTAAACCTCGAACCACGATGTGCTCGAAGTGACGATGGCAAACTACGACTCCTGCTCGACGAGTAGACCAATCGATACTTATACCGGTGGCAACACGGTCATAGCTTTGTCTTCACCGGGGAAACGAACGGTGACACATTGTAACTAAAGAACATATTATTAAATTGCAACCGCAACTTAATCTAATAACTGCATCATAACTAGTATTTACAATTTGAAAACATAACTATTTTTAAGGTAAACTACATCAGATACCCCCAAACTTCAGGCATTATATCATTTATACTATTGAACTTTCAATTTTTTTCAATTATAGCACTGAACTTTAACTTTCATTTCAATTATACTACTAAACCATTAAATTGTTAACGACATGATGACGTGGCTACCGACGTGACTGTTAATGATTTAATGATCCAGTGGTATAATTGAAACGAAAATTAAAATTTTATACTATAATTGACAAAATCAAAAGTGTAGTGATATAACACTTAAAGTTCGACAGTACGCAATAGGGTTTGTCCTTATTTTTAAGAAATAAATTATGCGGTACAATGACTTACTCAGAATTTGGTTAATTTCCCATACAAAACATTTTACCTACAATTTGTCAAGACAGGACATTTGACCCACAATTTGAAGATAACATTTAACCTACAATTCAGTTCAGTATAATCCTATCTTCAGTTACAGCACAGCACAGCACACAATTATGTAAAAAAAATTACACAAAAATTCTAAATATCAGTAAAAAAAAGCGAAAATTCCAATCCAAATCTCATCAATCATCATCCCATCACTATACAATAGGGGGCGGATGCACTCAGCCCTAGGGGGAGAGCATCCATTAATTAGTTAGGGAAAAACAATGAAATTTAGTATGATATATTAAAAAAAATATAAAAAAAATAAATTTTTTTACACATCTATTATTTTTAAGAAAAAATTAAAATTGTAAACCTCATCATTAAATTTCTGAATCTGCTTTTCTTTAAAACAAAAAATGGAAAGTAACCAGCTGTGCTAAGCATGCACAGGAACATGTACCGTGGGGTTGTTGCTAACCTCATGCGCTCAGAGATCGGATCACATTTCAAGTCGTTTCTGTAAAGTTGTTATTGTCCGACAGGACCAGGAGCCACCAGTATCGGAGTCGGCTGATTGTAGGGTGGCACCGGCAACACCGTACTCGAAACAGGAGGTGGAGGAGCAGCAGCAGGAGGAGGAAGTTGCGTCAGAGGAGGATTTGGGTCAGTGACAGGCGGTGGAGGTGTAGGAGTAGCCTCCTCAACGGCTGGTGGGCTGGGTGGTGGGTAAGGGCTAGGCTGGTTAGAGCCAACGGCCGGCGAAGGCGGGCTATAAGAGGAAGAGGAAGAAAAAGGTGCTGCGTTAGGGAAGACATTGGGTGGAGGGCCGCAAGAGTCGCCGTCGCACTTTTTCGAAAGCGACTTACGGTGGCCGTGACGAAGCAGCCCGAATCCCAATACAAGACCCGAAACCACTAACACCGTAACTACGAAGATGAAGATCTTTGTTGCTTTCCCCACATAACACATAATTTTTATTGTTTTTTTACCATGCAAAGAACAAGAAGCTGCAAATCTGAAAGCAGGGTCTGTCCCTGTTTTTGTTCGGTTGTGTGAGAAGATAGGATTTTTGATATGGTCCTTGTTTCATTGTGAGTTTAATACAATGGGAGGTGAGTTACCGAGTTTGGTGGGAGGTTGGGTTGGATTTTGCCATTTGGGGATCCATGGGGAAAAATAGGGTTAGTGAATTAGTGACGATTGCACGTGAAGGCCATTTAGAAGACAATGAAATATGAGCCTTTGCAATGTTTCCAAATTTGTGCCCAAAGCTCAATATTTTAGAACTCTAGCTCAAAGCTCTAGATTTTAGGGTTTAGCTTTTTAGTTTTGGGTTAGTAGAGTTTGAAAATTGGTTTAGGTTGCTGTATGTGGCGTGGTTTGGGGTTTAGTTATGAATATGGATGGTATTACAAACTGGAATACTCTTGATTTAAAATCATATGTTTATATTAATAGGATGATTCAAGGTGTAAGCAGTTTGATATCATTTAAGCAATGTTTCAGGTTCGAGTCATTGTATATGTAAAAAAATCTCCACCGGAAGATTCACTCACTAAAATCAGATGTGCGACCCGAATCGATCCAAATTAGATAGGACGAAGGCTTAGAATAGTATTACAATCAATAAAAAATGTGCATGAATCGGTAATGCAATTCAATATGTTTATCATTATATTACGAGTGAATTAATTTAATAATTATGGATTAAGGAGTTAATCAGATAGATGTAGGGTTAGTGAACCGGTGATGGAATATTTTGTGAGTGGAGCCAGAGGTATGTTTGCCATGTCACTCGTCGAGATGGAGGTGGTTGCTTGGTTCTGGCCCTCGTGGGGTTTAAACCATCGGCAAAGATCCCTCGTATTAACTGTCGATTAAGTTTAAAATATTTATTAATAGCCAGTTAAGTTTGAAATATTATTTATTAAAATGTTAAATTTATTATTTATACTACTTCAACACTGGTAGTTGAATTCGAGAACAAAATTAATAAATTTAAAAATGAAAGATATCATCTTACTTTTTTTTACCACATTTTATTATTTTTCATAGTATCTCAACACTTGATAGAGTGAGTAAAACTTGATTCGACTCGAAAAGTCAATTTTTTGACTCGACTTGAAAAAAATTCAAGTTCAAACCGAGTTGTAAAACGCAACCCTAATAACTCGAAGTTTTTAGTAATTAATAGATTAATTTTCATGTTTGAGTCTAAGTTTTGAATCGAGTCTCTCGATTTTATATGGTATATATAAATCACATATGGAGAAAATACGAATATATATATATATATATATATTGTGTATATGGTTATAAAATACCATTTAAATTAGAATGAAATAATGCCATAATATTATAAATATTTATAATTAAATTTAAATAAAAACTCAAAAATTTGAACCAATTTGACTCGACTCGAAAAAATTTCAAGTCAACTCCGAGTTATGAAATAGGACTCGTCAACTCAAAAACTCGAAATTTTTTGACTCGACTCAATCGAACGCTCACCCTAGATGTTGAGATTAATGTATAAAAAAATTGACACCCCTAATTTAAAGTAATAAGCATAATGAGATTAAATGTATATTTTAAGATTTTAATTTAAATTCATGATGTATTTCTTTTCAAGCGCGAGTAGTTCTTAAACATGAATGATGCATGTTGAATTCTCTTTTCCTTTATTTGGGTGTAAGAGATACAAGTCATGCATAAGGATAATAACAGGATAAAATTTCATCTATCCTACTTTTAACTCGATATGAATTTAATTTAATTTAATTCAACTCAATTTTGATTTAAAATAAAATAATAATTTATTTATTCTAGATTCGAACTCAAAATTAAAACTAGACCCGATTTTTATTATTAATATTATTTTAGAAGGGTTTTTTTTTATAATTTTATATAATCACTTGTTGAATAAATTTATAGAAATATAATTTTACATATAGAAAATATTTTCATTTACGTACATTTGATCCCAAAAAGGAGAAGCATAAGCTGATCAAAAGGGTGTGGGAGAGAACGCTGGTATACTCATCGTCTCACTATTATAATCATTCCTGAAAATCACAAAATAATATAATTAGTTAAATTTAGAAAAAAAACAAATATATCATAAAATAAATATTAACCAACCTAGAATAGAAGGAATTCTCATTACGGCTAACCCTGTGAGACTTGAACTTGTTTTCACCGTGACTCCTTTTTTCATCAATCTTATTCCTAGATTCCGAACCCAATACGACGCCGTCTTCCCGGATAACCTGGAGAACCGGTCTCCAATGTCGAGCTGCAGAAGAGGCGGAGCCACAAAATCCCGACTTGTTCGAGCGTTTCGCATGGCGGCGACCGGAGGGGAGAGGAGTCACCGCGTGAAGAGCCTCATACTCATCTTCATGTGACGGCGAGGCTGATGTAGGTGGGCGATAACATGAAGCTAATTCTTGGAAGAACTTCATTTATGTGGCGTTGGAGTCGAATTGGGAGGAGAAGGAGAGAAGGTTCTGGATTGGTTTGAACATGAAAGGATGGAGAGGTGGATTACTTATATATACACACACACATGGACGAGAGATGGGAGTGGGGTTAGATTTGTGAAGTAAATGATGTTGAAAGTGATTTGTTTTTGTTACATTGATTAGAAAAATTATTTGATCTTGGTTTCGTTAGAAAAAAATTACAAAATAATTCACCCCTAACATTCAGTGATGAATATTTAATCGAGTTGATTCATGTCAAAAAAATTTAAGTTAATTGAACTCATGAGTTATATTTTTTGTGTTGCCCTCCAGTTCCAAGTTTATATCTTGATTAATCTGGACTGACTCAGGTCACACACGTAGTTTTGGTGAGTGAGTCTCCCAACGAAATTTTCTGCATATACAACTTGAACCTAAAACCTTATTTAAACGATATCTAGTTGCTTATCACTTGAATCAATCCTATTGATAACTCATAAGTCATATTTTATAACTCGACATTTATTTGAAACTTTTGATCGAGCATAAATAAGTAGGACAAATGTTATACCTCTGAAGATGTTCCTTCAAAAGCGATAAGTTCTCCCAAATATTATACCTTCAAAGATACTTATATGTGAGCAAAAACTCTCATGCCTATCAAATCCTTTGGGGTTATATATCCATCGCTCAATCATAAACAGTTAGGGATAGTAAATCGGCGGGGTGAAATTTTGTATCCACTACATACCCATCGCTAGTGATTGGTAAATTTTTAAATTCACACCTGTTCATACGGGTATATTCTCAAATCCACCCCACACTCACTACCCAACTGGTTACCCACCACCCATCTTGTACCCGCCTGACAGCAACCTCACAAATTATATAATAGACAGTCTTTAATTCTAAAAATATTTATACCCTAACATTTGGTTAAATTACAAGTTATGTCCTATAAAATCTTAAGATTTGCATAATAGTCTCTAAAATTATACCTAAATTCATAATGATGTAAAATTTATATGGTGGGTAGTTATTGGGCGGGCAGATGTGAGACGAGCGGATGTGGGGCGGCTAAGGTCTCGAACCCATCATCTACCCACTATCCACCAGAAGCATGACTTTTTACATTTACACCCTTTTACTACTCACTAAACTTATAATCATCCAGTCTCAATTGGAGCGAGTGCGGTATGAAATTCATAAAATTGTACTTGTTTGTCATACCTATAAACAGTTGATAACATCATTGGCAAACTCAAGAGATCTATCAACACCAAATCCACTTCCAGGTGATTATTCACATACTTTATCAACCTACTAATACTCATAATAACTCAAGGTATAACATCAATATTGAGGGTGAATATATAAATTATCATACAAAACTAAAGGGGCTATTCATATTTTCCACCACGATTCTCTAGCTAGAAGCCTTCTATACTCTCTTCGAAAACAATTGATTCTGACTCTTAATATAAATTAAGGAGGTAAATCGCCTACCACAGTCATAATCTTAATGTTTCTCTCAATAAATTTAAATATTTATTAAAATGCAAAATAATTTGTAGAGCATGGAGCTCCAGTGCCAACACAAATATCTAGTGATTATAGAATTGGCCAATGGATTGTAATTGTAGAAATTGATGTTGAGAGCCACATGACAGAGTTGGGGCCCTCGACACGTATGTGGGCATTTAATGAGAAACCAAGCCTGACATAGAAGAATCTACATAACCAATGACATTAAATGTGGACTGTTGAGAATAATTAGGGTTTAGGATGCTGCAACTTGACACAATCCTAACCCTCGAGGGAATTCCAATTCATATCTACCACACAAAAAAAAAATGTTGCTTCACTGCATGGCGTAAAAGCTCAGTGAGATATACAATATATATATATATATATTAATTGTTGAATTTGAGAAGGGGCAAAGAGAATGGCGGTGGCGGTCCCAAAAGGCAAATGAAGATAGCAATATTCATTGGCCGTGGTGGTCCCAAAAGCCAAATGAAGATAGTAATATTCATTGTCCCCACTCTTGAGCTCATTCAAAAATTGCCAAAAATTCTATTGGTGAAGCCAATTGAAGATAGTGAGATTAAGTAAAAATCTCTTTGCTCAGGATGGATGCAAGGCCCTTGGTCATTGTAATGAGAGAGAGAGAGAAAAAAGAGGTTGTGTGATTGTAGGCGGTTCATTTTTTTGATTTGGACAAAGAATTTCAATATGTGGTTAAATTATGTGAAGGAGATAAAGGAAGATGTTGTCATCGATAAATTTATAGAAAGAGATCGAAGGGGGAGAGAGAAAGACTCCTCAATTTTGCATAATAATTTATACACGCATCCTTAGTGTTAGTGTCATGTCTAGGTTCATGATTATTATTTGTAGGTCGGCAAATTTAATAGACCTAATCATTATACAACAAACTTTATTAGTGATGTAATTGATAGCAGCCATATCAAGTGACTAGTTGTTTGCAGGGTCGGCTCTGGGCCAGGATAGGAGGGGCGCCCTCCTAAGACCCATAAATTAAAAGGAAATTTTAGTATCATATATTTTATTTTTTAACAATAAATTAAAAAAAGACTATAAAATAAAATAATGAGACCCATAAGTTTATTAAGGTTAATAAATCGTTCTTCTAATTCCCATAAAATCCTAATTCAATATTTATTTTCTAAAATTCAATAAGAATCCAATTGAATTTCTTTCATGTTGGTCTCTTCAAATTCCCACAATCAATGCATCAAATTTCTTTCTCAATTTTTCATATCAATGAAAAATTTTATTAACGTTTTTTTCTCCTCAAAATTCAACGAAAGGAAAAAAAATTAAGTTTAATTAACATGCTTCGTTTCTCATCCATATTTAAAAATTCCTATGAAAATTGTTACTCTCACCTTTTAATTTTTCATATTTTTCACAAACACGAAGCACAAAGTTACAATTATTTATAGTCAAATGCGATGCTTGAATCATATTGAATATTGTTCTTAAAATTCTAGGTAAGATCATATTTCCAAATTCTTTCGTTTGATATTTATATATTTTTAAATTCTTGATAAGATCATTCTTTTATTTTCAAATGCTATGTTATGCATTGAGACAAAATTGTTGGAAAGTATTGATATTGATACTATCATCAATGATTTTGCATCAAGAAATGCACGCAGACAATATTTTTATAAGTATTTGTATGCTTAAATATTTTTTGTTGTTGATATTTTTGATATTGTAACGAATTTTTATTTGTTTAATTTAATAAATTAAATCATAATAGAAATTTTATATTACATATTTCTTAAATTTATTTTGAATTAGGGGCCCACTTTTATAATTTGGTCCCAAGTTAAAAAAATAGTCAGGACCGACCCTGGTTGTTTGGAGGACATAGAATTCCGAAGACCTCCGAAGACTATAAAAACCTTGATAGGTGAAGAATCTCCTCCGAAAACTTTGATCAGGAAGAAGATCCGAAGGAGACTTGATGGTTATACAGCTCATTTCTTCAAGATGGCATGAGAGGTTGTAGACAAAGACTTGAGTTCTATTTTCCGGCTGCTTGAATGAATCCACCTCTCAATTCTACTATAATTACAAAGGTCCTTAATAAGACCAATTCTAGAAGTATTAGAGACTATCGTCCAATTTCCTGATGCTTTATAGTCTACGAAACTATCATTAAAGTCACAGTCCAATTTCAGAAAACATATTGTTTGCTCCGGGGCTTATGAGTGATTATGAAAGAATTACATTATCATCCACACGTGCATTGAAGATTGATCTGCAAAAAAGCCTTTTGGGTTGCCCCAACAATTTATAGAATAGATGGAAGGATCGATGCATTACTAAGTCTAGGTTTCTTCATCGTCCTGAATGGTAGTTTGGAGGGCTATTTTCGAGGGATCACAAGGAAGACAGGGATCCTCTTTCCCTTACATTGGTCATAGAGGTTTCATTTTGGTTATCGAATTTGAGAGAATAAAAATTTGGTCAATTATGTTATCGATTCATTATAGTTTAGTCAACGAACATAATAGTAAAAAATGTTAATTTCTAATTTAAGATATGAATTTTAAGATCATTATTTTTTTTCCACATTCTTTAAACAAAAAACTCCAAAATCTTTACAAACTTCTCTCTAACACTAACCATCATCCTTGATGTTACTGCGGTCATCGTTAGTCATCGCACACCTCTTATCCAAACTCTAACTCCTTCACACTCTCATCTTCATTCGCCCAAATCCCAATAGCCCCCAACCTCATCAATTCCATTTGCGTCACCGCCCCGTGCATGGTAGCATAGCACATCTGTCGACACCGTTTTTCGCTCGGGCAGAGAAATGACCGATATCGACTAGGGGTTTTTCTCTTTGAAAAGTGTTTCGAAATGTGAGGAGTCGCCACCAATAATTTAAAGTGCGATTGGAACATTATAAAAACAAGGTGATTTTAATAAAACATTTTATTTTTATCAAAATACCAAGTTTTAAGGTCTATGAAAATCTAGAAATCAGATTCGGGAGTCATTACGCGTGGGGAAGGATTAGCACCCCACAAGCATCCAAAAATTGGTACCTAGTAGATTACCCTATATTTAAAGTTAGAAATTTCGAGTTCAATCTTTATTTAATTTGAAAATCATTACAGATGCAAAGTTGAAAAGGGTATTCGTTTATTGAGACCGATAGCATTCGCTCCCAAGCGTAAAAGCGGGAGATCAACTATTGTGTCTAATAACCGAATATTGCCTCGTTTTAGAAATCATAATGTGATTTTGAAAAGGATATCGACCTATTTCGAGAATCACCAGAAGTCAACCCTAAACATACTTACGGGAGATGTACGATTAATTTCCTAATAAGTGAACATTGCCTCGGGTTTTAAAATAGAATGCAATCAATAATTTTTTTATTAATCCTAATTAAACTAAGGATAGATTAAGGCTTTTTCTATCTTAAAGTATCAAATTATGAAAATTAAAGAATCTAGGGGCTCTTACCTAAAAATCTAAGCTCTAATATTAATCATACTTAATTTTAATTTGTT